ACAGCACTGCTCTGTTGTTTGCACAAGTTTATGATGTGTCTATGAGTGTCTTTAATGTTTGCTTTAATATTTCAATTTCAGATAATTTACTTCTCTCTCTTCATGAAATGTTGAAATTCTGACTAATCTTTTTTTCACTCCTGAAAGATTAGGTAAAATATGTTGTTGATGCAATAAAACAATTAATAACCTCAACAGCAACGATTACTATGGATACCACCTTGTTGTTATTTTTGGTGGTTTTATAACTCTTAAAACCTGGGCGGCTTAAATAAATGACTTTCATAACATCTTTACAGTAGACACCCACAAGAAAAGAAAGACTTCTGTGAAACATTTTCCAGTAAACAACATGTTTGTGTTTTTCTTTAGATTGAATGTGAATGTTGTAAATTATTAGTAAATAATTTATCTGAAGCATCACAGTTTGTTTTTTTTGTTTGTTTTTTCTAACATTCTAAGATTATGTTTTACGGATCAGCGGATTGCATTCAAAGCCAAAACTAAGCCATTTTGCAGTGTAAGTACTTTGTTGCTAACATGAAACATATCTGATCACTCACCCAAAAGCAACCCTCTGGGTTCGGCAGAGTACATACAAACAAGCAAAAGGCCACTTGGAAGGCTTATATCAGCATCTTTAGAAGTTTCCATGAAACTTACTGAAGTTGCTGAGTAAGTGGTTCTGTTTTAAATTTCCAGACCAATAACATGAGGTAAATTCTTGTTCTATATTGCATCTGATCAGATTCATTTTCAACAGATAGATAGATAGATAGATAGATAGATAGATAGATAGATAGATAGATAGATAGATAGATAGATAGATAGATAGATAGATAGATAGATAGATAGAAAGTAAATTAAAAATCAAAAGTAACATTGATTTGTGACGTGCATAAATCCAAGAAGATAAATCACTGAATGAAACAAAATTTTACGTCGTTCTGATGTAATACTGTTATTGACCACTAGGTCATGCAATTTTCCATGATAAAACTTTCTGCAAACACAATTTGTATTTCATTTCAAGTAAAGACTTCGTGATATTTTACACTATAAACATATTCCTCCATATAAACATTGCTCCTTCAACATACTTTAACTAAAAAGCAATTTAGGTCTTGTCGAGTATACTTGGATATATCCTGTAACTGATGTAATCAACTTTCTCAAACTCATCAAAGATTTATTTTTCACTTAACTTAAACTTTAGAAAAAAAAAAAAGAGGAACTGTGGTGAGCTAGCTGAAACTTCCTTCTGATATGCAGACATTTCCATCTGAATATTGCTTCCTTGATTGCATCATTTAAAAAAATTGCTCAATATATGCAATAAAAGATATTAATCATACAGATGTAACAAAGATATAAGCTTAGCAACAAGTTTCAGGAAGCAACAAAAACATGTTTTTCCACTGTGACATCAGCAGAAGATCTGATCGTGAAGGTTACAAGAACTATAAACCACATGAGCGGACTTCCTGTGCAGTGGTGACAGCTATTTTCTGACAGCTATATAAAGGAAATGTCTTGGTAGACAGCATGATGAATGACTGAGGTAGAAAGCTGTAAAGGGGATTTTTGGTGCCTTATACTTTATGTGTTTTAAAAAGAAATGCAAGTTTAATTGTGATTAATCAGTGTTAGATATTTTTTAACTGATTGACAGTACTAGTTTTGTTCTTATGTTACTTCTTGTGTGTTGCTTTGTCGACTCTCAAAGATGTCAGTCTCATTTCAAGTTCAAAACCAACTTCTAGTTGGATAAAAATAATACTGAATCTAATTCTATCCAGGTATGAATATTTCCGGCCCTGACTGTATGAGGGCTTTACTTTTTATTCATCTCTCTCCTCACAAATCCAAAAAGCACCAGCACACATGGTCACTGAGCTCTTACAGCTTTGTCAGCAATATCCCTCTGTGGCTTGTAAACTAAAAAGCCAGCAGTTTTGTTAACCGCAAGCCAACTCCTGTACAGGGAATGATTCACATATGGTGTGAATAGCCAGCACTTTCCAACAACCCAACAGTTCCTATTAAAACACATTTCCAGAGGTCCTTTTAAATGTAAGAGTTAATAATAATTCCAACATGAATTTGCTTAAATAAGAAAGTCCTTTTTTTTTTTTTTTTTTTTATGGCGTCTTAAAAAACCCCCCCCCTGCGGGTGTTCACTTAACGGCCTCACGGCAGGAAACAGAATTGCAATAACTGAGTTTATTCATCTGTGTGCAAACCAATACAAGCAGTTAGACCAAAAGCTGTCCTGACCTTTTTGTTTTGGAGGTGACAGGAAGTTGTTGAGACAGAAAGGCTGCATGGATATCCCTCCGCATTGTTTGAGATTTCTGGGAGAAACTGTAGAATGAAAATAGCCGGGGCCAACACAAAACACCAAATGTCTGCGCACACCATCTGGTTTGATCTGGACGAAAGCCGTGAGATAACAGGAAGAGTCCTGGGGCCTGGCATGATCAGGTTGCAAGTCACTTTTTTGAGAAGTGAACTATAGTGAGGCACTAAGCCTAGCTAAACGTATAAAGAGTCTCTAGTTACTGGTGTTTAGGGTCTGATCTCATGGCTTTGCAGAAAGTTTATTATATGATCCAAGAGGAGGATAAAATATCCAGAAAATATTACCAACTAAACCTAAAACATCAGAAAGTAGGCAAGAAGAAAAATAAATAAATAAAAAGCCCTGAACAACTGGCAAATATTACAGAAAATAATTTAATCAACTAATTAGTTTTTCAAATATAGCATATGTAGATCTTGCATAGTATCTGAAAGGATTAAGGAAGATGCAATGAAGCCCAAAAATATTCATACTTTGGGGTAGCAAAGTAAAAGAGGAAGCAGACTGCGATGTGTTGAGATCTCATGAGAGAGGTGAGTAACTGAAACATGGTGGAACAAAACTAAACAAAATTAGTCCAGCTCAGACAAACAAGCCAAGAAGCCAAGAAACCCAATTCAAAAGCTTAAAAAGATTCAAATTGGTCACCATAAGTTTAAATTTTCAGAGAAGACCACCTAACATGGGAAGACCTGTAAAGCCTGCAGAACTATGTTGAAATTAGAGCATATTTTCAAGTCTAATAAAGCCAATCACACACTTAGTTTACCATCTTGAGCTATCTTTTTCGAAGAGCAAACAAAGGCAAACAAAAATGCAGAAAAGCAGAGATAGGACATATTTCTTAAAAGTTTTTAAAGGTTTTTTTTTTTTTTTCATTCCACCAAGGAGTTTGTTCCTGACTGCAAAAGTGTTTTTTATGTGAACCATAATGCACAGTTAAAAGTATCTGCCGGAAAGTCTGAGGTAAGATATTTATTCTTCTTTATTTTGGGATTTTTTTCTCACCTCTGGGAGCCATCAGAGAACAGGAAATCAGTACCACTTTAGCTTGATTCACATTGTTCAGTGAGTCTTTATTTTCTAGTGAAAAACTCTCTTGGGTAAACTAGAGTTCCTCTTTTTGTTTTGCTGAGAAAAAAAAATTTAAGTGGTTACTGCTGTCCTCTGTGACAAAGTATGATACATCGTTCTACTCAGAGCCACTTTTATTAAACAGTTCAAGTTTCATTTAATTTTAATTTCTGAGTGTGCATGAAATAGTTTCTCTTTAGACCAATGGCTGACCATATGTCCTTTATTATACAACTCCTTTATATATATTAAAATGAAAATGTTTGCTGTTTAAGCTATGCTTGATCATGAAATGTGCTTATTTTGCGCTGTCCCTGTGTCAGTGGGTTTTTGAGTTCTCTCTGTTGGTGTGTTCACACACATCCCTGTGGGCCCGCAATCTGTCATCTCCATTTTCCTAAAGTCACAAAGCACAAACTCCACCTCATTGTTTTTAAAGTGTGAAATATTGTTGCAAGCACCCTCTACATCAGTGAGCTTTGCGTAGTGAGTTCACCCAGGGGGTAACCATCTATTTTGAGATCGTGCAACTTCTCATAAAAAAGATTCATGAAACCATCCGCTTGTAGCAGCGGTGGCAGCTTGTGATGCTAGCAAAGTCAGTTCTCTTTTGCATGGATTCAATATTTTACAGTGCTTTACAAACTTTGTCTTCAGGTCCCACCTCTGTGAACTTTACATTTTGCTTTCACAGCCTTCAACAGTAGAAATAAGCCGACAACACTGGCTTTTATTTATTTGTTTATAAGAATGCCTTGGGCAAGCTACCTCCATATTTGCTTCATCTTGGGTTTTTTTATTCATTTCGGTTTTTTTGCAGCCAGATGTCAATACAATATTCACTCGTCACATCAGCTCTTCCTGAAACTAAAGAGAGTAACTTTTATTGTTAAACCCCCTTTAAGGAGTTTCATGAAATCTTAGTTTTATGTTCTATTTTTGTATAACACACAAAACTGTTTAGGAATTGTTACAAGACAATCATTAAACAGTTAAAACTACAAGCACGAAACCAGAAACTGAATTTGCCTAGCTCGTATTGATGATTTTGTAATATAGTAGGATGGGGCATATAAAACTGTGTAGCAGTCTAACTATTAGGCTTTTTGTTACTTAGTTTAATGTTATTGTTGTCAAATAATTACAAAATATTTGATGTCATTTTTTGAAAATGAAAATTTCATTTTCGTCATCCACAGTTTTTTTATGTCCTGAGACGTGCTCTTTAAATAACTCTAACAGTTCTGCACTTTAGTCATTTGCATAAACATTTATGTTTTGGTACATAAATGAAGTGAAGTGATGCCACTTCACTGACTTTTGATCTAAAACTTTAATACCTGTTAACACATTTAACAAGTGTGATGTATCGGAACGTTACAAGTGACCCTGACAGATAAAGTTGTGATAAAAATAATTAAATGGTCAGTAGATAGTCAGGATTTCCGGCCTGCATTGCACAAAAAGGGAATGGGTGAGGGTGCGTAGTGGGAGGGAGTTTGATCACGAAGGAGATTATTACATATTTTTGACTGATAAAGGAACATAGCTCACTGCATTCTTTCAAATATTGATGCTCTTTTGGTCTCCTCAGGACACTCGGCATGTAGAGTCGCAGAGGATGATGCTGCAGGTAAGCTAGTGATTCTCTACATCAACAGAGAATGAGGCAGCTGCAGACAAAAATCTTACTGAAATAGGACTTGCATCGACACTAAAGGATGTTTTATTAAACTTTAAATTGTTTGGTCATTCTCTAAAGACCAAAGTAGCTCTTGTGTTGTGGCTATTTATGGCAAATGTTTGGTGTGTGGATGGAAGTTTTTTTGTAAATTATTTTTTTGACCACTTTACACTTTTCACTATTCACATTAAGTTTACTTTCGTTTTTTTGGCTAAGTTGTAGGACATTTTTGGTAATTATTTTGTCGCTAATGTTTTGTTTTACAAGAAATAAACAATATATTTTTTCAAACAAATTAAGTCGGAAGTGCGTTCAAATCAAACCACCTGTTAACACCCACGGCCTTTGTTGGAATATTGGTTTTTGGAAACTAGAAGGCCGCAACATCTTGTTTTACATGTGGTAATAGAAACAGTATGTAAATAAAAAAAAAATAAAAAATCTTTTCATATATTTGTAGAAACTGTTACTGTATTATGACAATATGGTTTTAGACCTACTCTGTGAAAAATGTAGCTCTGTTGGGGTGGGCGTTTATTGTATCATCCCATATATCGTTTATAATTTATAATAAATTTCTTATCATCATATGAAGCTTAATAATTTATTGTTGTCACAATGAATAATGTTAAAAAACTGTCCATATTATTAGGATAGTTAATTTTGCTATTTTTTTACACCTTTTTTCCATGAGAGATTAAATGCAGTTATTGTGTGCAGTTTAGTGATATCAGACATATTTTTTATAAGACTGCTGTCCAAAAGGAGTGCATTATACTTTTTTTTTTTTTTCAAGAGCAGTATTTGTGCCATTCAGTCAAAGCCATAGCTACCTAACGGTACCAAAGAAGTTAAGTAACAAATAGTTCTTGATCAGACTTTTATTGTTATTTCAACAGCACCACAAAATATTGCGATAAAACTTTAAGCCCATGTCACAATTTCACGTGGCACAAATTCACTTGCAAGACCAAGAAGAAAAGTTTAAAAAAAAGTTAATAAAAATCCAGTAACTGTAAAGTTTTTATTTTGTCTATCTATTCACTTTTTTTTCTATTTACAGGTTCTAAATTAATTCTGAGCTGTTCAACAAGGTTGTGACAAACAAAAGAGAAAATATTGTCAGGTTGTTATAAATGCTGATCAGAAAAGGCGTTGCTTGGCGCTTCACCATGACAGCCAAGAGGACTTTCCTGTTGTTGGGTAAGACAAGCTCCTGTTTTAAAACCAGTAGGATAGAGAACATCACCCCAGTTCTAAAGTCTGTACACTGGCTCCCAGTAGCTCAAAGAATATATATATAAAAAAAACTCTTGTTAGTTTATAAATCACTGAATGTCTCAGTACCACAAAACATTAACGATTTTCTGTTGTATCAAACATCCATTCCACTGATGTCTTCTGGTTCTGGTCTGCTCTGCATCCCCAGAACCAGAACCAAACATGGAGAAACAGCATTCAGCTTCTACACACCACAAATCTGGAACAAGCTTACAGAAAATAGTGAAACAGCCGAAACACTGAATTCCTTTAAATCTAGAATAGAAACCCACCTGTTTAGAGTTACCTTCCTTTCAGCCATAATAAAAGAAACATTGACCAATATATTTAATTTTTCTCAGTTGTTGACTGAGAAAAAGGTATTTTTGTGTTTTTATGATGTAAGGCACTTTGAACTGCCTTGTTACTGAAATGTGCTGCACAAACTAACTTGATTGAGCGATTAAATAATAATTTGCAAAGATTGTAAAGTTTATACCTAAAATACGAACAATTAAGGATGATTTTCACGACTGGCTTTATCAGTGATAGCTTGATCTAAAAACAGACTCTCTTCCTGTCTTTGCATGCTCAGAAACTCTATGGTCATTCACCAAACTAGAGACAACTGACATTGCCCAGTCAGAGCCTATAATGGTATTCTGAAATTTTAACACCAGCTGATGTTTACAGACAGTCTTCCAAACAATTATGTGGCAAGGTGGTATTACAATTTCAGAAAATCAGGATAAATAATTGTTTTTGCTTTTTCAACTCAAAACTCTTTATCTCTTTGACTCTAATAATTACACTGAATGTAATAATCCTAAATATCCTATGTCCTTTGATGACTGTTGTAATCAATGGTAATACTGTAATAGGCTGCAGTAATGAGTGACACTTTGTGTTCTCAAAATTCATCATATCTCTAGCTCTAATGTTTTGACTCATTGAATCTTGAAACTTTCTTAAAAATACCCTGTATCCTTCAATGACTGTAGTAATCAGTAGTAATGGATGAAATAGTCAAAATGTAATAGGCTGCAGTAATGAGTGACACTTTGTGTTTGTTTTTCAGCTTTGATCCTTTTTCCTTTCCAAACACAAGGATCCTGCAAAGAAGGGTTTAGTTTGGATAACGGAAAGTGTGTTGGTATGTAATAAAAAGTAACTTTCTTTAAAAACACATATATGCAACACATGTACAGCTCTCTATTAAAAAGTGCTTTGTTCTTTTTCATGACTCATCATTTTGAGTTTTTTTCTTTATTAACTAAAATTATTGTTGTTTTTAGCATTTTTGTTCTTTTTTCACATCAATATCAATTTCAGTATTAAGCCAAGAATCAGTTCATGCTGTAATAACTTTTCACATTTCTATTTCCTTGACAAAGATGTCAATGAATGTGCAGAAGACCCTGAAATATGTGGAGAAAATTCAAACTGTTTCAACACATATGGCAGCTTCTACTGCCAGTGCAAGGAGGGATTCTGGCCAAAAGCTGTGAATTTTACTTTTCTAGACCCTGTCACATGTAGAGGTAAATAGTCTGTAATTAGAAATGACAAACAATCGGATTTCATCCATCATTTCCTATAATTGTTCCTTT